ATATATCACAATAATTATATTTTATACACTAAAGGTAATTTTAGTCACACTACTAGTCTCTTAGTAAAGGTCAAAGTACACACCCTGTAAATCTTAAGATCCTGCTTAGACAATAGCTTGTAGAATAAATGTTGGGTGGTCATGGTAACCATCCTTTGGGCAATTATGTAGAGGCTCAGGCCTTGGTCACAGTCATTGTAGATGGAGGGATTTGGACTCAGTTAAGATAAGTTAGTCTTTAGCATAGAAAAGGTATAGCTGTACCCTGGAGCATAAGAATTATGAGGAAGTAAAACCCTGATACTAATGAAACAATGGTTAAACTGCCCGGTATAAAAAGGGGCATGCTGTAAAATAAAGTGAGACACTTCTTCTTGAAAAAGCACTCCTGTGTCTCCGCATGTTTTTTCCTTTTTCCTCGCCGACTCCGCCTCCACCTGAGGGAACCCCTGGACCTGCAGGAGCTGGTCTCCCGCATATCCCCACCCACATCTAACCACCACAGGGTGGGTCATTTCCAGGGAGAACCACCAGATGAGCCTGGTCAAACCATGAATACTGAGAGATTATCATAAATTGTTGTTTTAAGCCAACAAGTTTTGTAATGACTTGTTATACAGAAATAGTTAACCAGAAGGCAAAAAGTAACATAATAAACACCCAAGTCCCTGCCACCTGATTTGTCAAGATTTAATATTTTGTCATATTTGCTTTGTATTTTTTAACGAAATCAAGCATTACATGAACAGTTGTAGTAGCCAACATTCCTTTCTCTTATTCCATTCCTTTTTCTTTCTCTCCACAGATATCCATTATCTTTAATTTGGTGTTATTTTTTCATGCAGCTTTCATATCACTGCAGATACATCAATAAACAATGTATATTATTTTTCATGTTTAAATGTCCTATGAATAATATTTTACTAAAGGTATTCTTTCACCACTTGCATTTTGTTTACATTATATTCTTGATGTATATCCATATTGATGCATACACCTGATTTTCTTAATTTTAATTGCTTTATAGTACTACATTTACACTACAATATAATATATCCATTTCCCTGTTAAAGAACATTTAATTTGTTTTTAATTCTCCACTACTACAAACAATTTATTGTTTTTTTAGGTTCCTCCTTATGACTATGTTTGGGAGTTTCTATAGCTTATAAAACAGTTGTGGGATGACTTAATTATAGGGCATAATCATAATCAACTTTAATATATTGCCAAATGGCTTTCCAAATTGGTGATGTTAGTCCCACATCACTCTAGAAACAAGATATAACACAGACAAAGAAAGACAAAACAATACTACATGATCTTACTTATGTGTGTAATCTAAAAAAGTCAAACTCATAGAAACAGATTCATTGGTGATTTCCAGGGGCTGGGGGTGAGGGCAATGTGGGCATGTTGATCAAAGGGTACAAATTTTCAATTATAAGATGAATAAATTATAGGGATCTAAAGTACAGCGTGGTAATTATACTGGTAACAATACTGTACTGTATACTTGAAATTTGTTGAGAGAGTAGATCTTTTTTTATTTATTTTTTTTTTTATTGTGAGTTTCAGCTGTACAGAACAATGCAATAGTTACCCTTTTCACCCTCACAAAGTAACAACCCCCCTCCCCCCGAGAGAGTAGATCTTAAATGTTCACTCCCCCACATACACACACACAGAGGTAACTATGCGATGTGATAGATGTATTAACTAACCTTATTGTGGTAATCATTTTACAATATACATACATATATAAAATTAAAAAACAAAGAATACAGAAAAATGAATTTTATCAAAGTGGTTCTCCAGGGAAATGGAATAAAATTTTGACCTTTCCATTTTCTGGTCATGTAACCACGAGCAAATTACTTAACATTTTTAAGCTTCAGTTTCCTTAGCTTTAAAATGTGGGAATTAATATCTAATCACAAATATGTTTTGCTGAAATTTTAAGTGATATTATCTATTAATAAATGATAATTAGGGGCTGGCTGAGTGGCACATTGGTTAAGAGCTGGCTTGGGATGCCAGCTCTGAGCAGCAGGGCCCGGGTTCAGATCCCACATGAGGGCCAGTGACGCTGCGCCCTCTACAGCTAAGATGGTGAACAACAGCTCGACCTGGAGCTGGGCTGCGGTGAGTCACTGGTGACGGCATAGGCTGCAGCCTCTGCTGCAGTGGGCTGCCATAAGCTACTGTGTGTGGGCGTTAGCCGCCATGAGCGGCTGTCCAGAGGCTGGTGGTCAATCTGCCTCACCCGGGAACAGTGTAATGATCACAATACCAACATGGGCCAGTGAAGCAACGTCCTCCACAACTAGACTGAAGAACAAAGGACAGCAACTTGTCTGTTCCCCTTTCCCCGATCTCCCAGTGCTGTTCCCCTCCCTCAATTCCCCAATAAAATAAAAAAAAATAATTGGTATTATATAATAAAGATTATTATCATCGTCATCATCATTATTACTATTGCTATGCCTTTATGGCTTAATGAATTTACAAACTCATTATATATGTATATTATTAATACTTTCATTTTGTTACCTATATCACCACTCTTATAGGCTCAAATGTGGCCCCCACCCCAAATTCAAAGTTTGAAGTCCTAACCCTCAGTGCCTCAGAATGTGACTATTTGGATATAAGGATTTAAGAAAGATAATTGAGTTAAAATGAGATCTTTAGGGTGGGCACAAATCCAATATGACTGATGTCCTCATAAGAAGAGGAAATTTGGACACAGACAGACAAACATGCATACAGAAAAAGGAGCATGTAAGGACACAGTTAGAGGAGACCATCAATAAGCTTGGAGAGAGATCTCCGAAGAAACAACCCTGCTGAATCTTGATCTTGGACTTCTAGCCTTCAGAATTGTGAGAAAATTCACTTCTCTTGTTCAAACTAAAAAAATAAAAGAAACAAAGAAAAAGACAATGTATTTTTCACAAAGTAGGCACTTGGCAACAAATTTAACAATATGTTTAATTTGGGGCACTATTGGAAATGCATGAATTGACCTTATCACATGATGAAAAAAAATCTATCATTTGATAATAGTGTTTTTTCCCCAGAAACTTTGAAAACACACACATATATACACACAAATACAATCAAGGGAATATTCCTTCTAATACTTAGTACTCTGTGTAAAGTTTCTAGGGCATTTACAAGCACACGCACACGTTTAAGTTTGAACTTAAAGTCTAACAAATAAAATAACGCTTCACACATTAATAGCCATTTGCAAATGAGCCTACAAAGTATTTATGAAATTCAGTACTTGGATTCCAGGCCCTTAAAATATATATTTTTTTACTTACTATAAAACACTGAACTTTCAAATTAAACAAAAGCTGATATTAGAAAGTAGTTCTTATTGCAATTTAACTTAATGAGGGATTTTGAAGACTATTAAGTATGGTATACTTTCTTTAATGTCTAACTTGATCACAAACAATTATAAAAATATTTACTTAATAATTAAAAATATCTACTATAATAGTTGACTTTCCAAATTTTATGCACAGAAATTATTCAGAGGATATAACTACTGTCCAAATGTTACTCTCTTTCAAATAATCACATTGACATCACTAAATCTGCATTAACTAACTATATGGCAAAGAAAAATAATTACTTATTTTGGGAGCAGTATCAACTGATATTATGAAATGTTTATTCAAATAGAATCTGTTAAGTTACCTCAGATTATTATTTTTATGTAGTAACCATTAACAAAAGACACAGTTTCGAGAAGTATTAAGAATGGATATAAAGGTCTATAACTAGACAATGAAAATACGACAACATACAGGTAAAATTTCAGTGGAAGCATTGTTTTAATACCAGTAAGGAAAGGCATGACTGAAGAGCATCAAATCGATTCTTTTCACCATCCTGAATATATGGGACAGAGAAATACATTAACATAAAAATAGTTGATAGCGTCTATATTGTTGAAACCAAAATCTTTCAACTGGTGTACATCCACAAACCTCCAGAATTTAAAGCAGTAAATCACATCGCTACCTTCTTCAAATGGTGAAAAATGGTTCAATATTTACCAGAAATAAAGGGAAGATAAAACAGGTAAAACCCTTTCACATTATCCATTTTATTACCACACAAAATTTATGTGTACCAAGCTAGTTGGTCATTTGATAAATTGACAATAAATACACTCAAAGGAACCTCAATATCTGCATAATAGTTAACAGAAACTGGCAATGGGAAGGTTATTAAATAGGATAGAGATGATTGTCACACATTAGTTACAAATGTTTGCTCACCTGTTTGGTTGAGTGTTCTATTATATGTGTCATCTTTTACATTAAAACACTAGTCACTATAATTGTCCATGGCCTCGGAGAATTTAATGAAAGTTATCAACATTCCCACAGAAAAATGCACATATTTACATGAATACAACATTTTGCATTCATTTTCAGGGAATTTCATAGTCATTGTGGACTCTGAAGAGTCCATCCTAAGACTATCTGTATTATTTGCATCCCACCATAACAGATATATGGTAAATTTATAATATATGTCTGGCTTAACATATGATGTTTGGGGGTAGTATACTTGGACCCAACTCAAAAATTCTATTAAAAATAGCAATCAAAGACTTACGTTAACTTTAAAAAGTTAGAGGTATAATTATTCCTCCATTTCTCTCTCTCTCCTCTCTCTCTCTCTCTCTCTCTCTCTCTCTCATCTATCTCTCTCACCATTTTTTTTCTTTTTCCTGTCCTTCTCTCCTCTCCTTCTCCAATCCATCCTGGAAACGATTTTGTCTCCACCTCTTGCCTCCTCTCCAGGAAAGGTTGGAGCAGCAAAACGGGGGGCCTGTGTGTGCTAGGTGGGGACGGGCATAGTAAAGGAATTCCTTATCTTCACAGCAACAGCTTGGGAAACGCGTTGACTACAGAGTTAAACTCAAGTCCACTTTCTAACAGTTGGCGACAGTCCGTTCAGTTCGTTTCAACCCCTTTTACCAGAAAGAATCATCTTTCGCCATCCACCGCCCCTCCTGCCCCCCCCCCCCAACGCAGCACCCGAAGGGGAGTGTCTCTGGGGATGCTTCTGTCCAGACTTGCTCCCTTCTCTTCACCACGGCCTCCCACCCCTCCGCCCAGCAATCGCTGACATCCCACCCTTTCTCCACCTCCAGCCCTGAAAATGGGTACAAACAAGTCCTCCAACAACCTAAGGAGGGAGGAGCTTGATTGGTCGGATCCAACTCCCAGCGGGAGGGAGGGGGACCTGGAGGGAGAAGTGGAGGCCGGGCTAGGACGTGGAAAGAAAGCACTTGGGGTGGGGATGCCGGGGACGCGAGGAGGGACGGGAGACCCTAGTCCTGCCCCCCCAAAGTTAAAGGTCTGAGAGAACTCGCTCAGCCTGACGGTGAAAGCGCCCCACCGTTAACCCAGGAAGCTTCCGAGTGCGGGCGCGAAAGGGTGTTGAGCGGTATATATAGCTCTCCATAGACAGCGCGAGCTCAGCGCGGAAAGGAGGGGGCGAGCAAAGGCAGGTCCCGCCTCCCCCTGGCCCGCGTGCACACACGCGCCCACCGCGGCTCGGGCTGGCTGAGCGCGGGCGAGTGTGAGCGCGAGTGTGCGCACGCCGCCAAGAGCCTCTGCCCTCGCCTCGCACCCTCTCAGGGCATCTGGAGAGCCTGGAAGCGTGAACAGCCTTAAAGTATGGCATGTTGCAAAGATGGTTTCTGCCAAAAAGGTACCCGCGATCGCGACGTCCTTCGGGGTCAGTTTCGCCCTCCTGCACGTCCTGTGCCTGGCGGCTTGGTGAGTTCCCTGGGGTCCTGGGGGGGGGCAAGGAGAGGGCGGAGAAGTAGCCAGTTCCAGCCCCCCTCCTGCCACCCGCCCCTCCCAGGGCAAACCAGACCCTCCTGTCCCCCCTGTAAGGTCAGGGGCCGGAGCCAGGCTTTTCTGTGACGGCGTAGACGCGGAGGGTAGAAAGGCCCCCGGGTGCAAGAAGAGTGTGTCTGTTGGGGTGCGTGTGCGCGGAGTGCGTCTTTCCTGACCGTTTCTCTCCCTCATTCCTCAGCTGTGCCTCCTTTAGCTTGGGGCAAGCGACTCTTTTCCCTAGAAGATAAACCTGTTTCCACCTGTTCTGTGAATCTTAAAATAACTCCCATCCACCCTCGAATTTTTGCGTTTGCAGTTTAAACGAATCCCCAGGACAGAACCAAAAGGAGGAGAAATTATGCCCGGAAAATTTTACCCGCATCCTGGACAGTTTACTCGATGGTTATGACAACAGGCTGCGTCCTGGATTTGGGGGTATGAACGATTTCAAACGCTCAAGTGTGTGCTGTCTGTCCCTCTCTCCGTCTGTCTGTCTGTCTGTGGGAAAATCATTAGGTATGCCTCGCGTGTAAAAATGAAATCTCTCTCTCTCTCTCTCCCTCCCTCTCTCTCTCTCTCTCTCTCCCCCTCCCTCTCCCTCTCCCTCTCCTCTCCACCTCTCCACCTCTTAATCTGACTCCTCTCTCTCTCTCCCTCTCTCCCTCGCTCCCTCTTTTTTTTCCTCTCTCTCTCCCTCTCTCCCTCCCTCCCCTCTCTTGATATGATCTCTGACAGGAAGACCGCCCCCAACCATGCTTTCCCCCTTCCCTGCCCCCTCAGAAGCTGCGCATCTCCCCCACACTAATTACCTCCCGAGACCTGACTGCTGGGTGGGGGAGGTTGGAGGTGGAGAGTCAGAAATGGGAACTTGGGGCTCAGCTACCCTGCCACTCTGTGCTGAAAATGGGGTTCCCCCTGAACCTGGCCACTGCGCTCAGAGCAGGTTGCACTTGAGGCATCTGATCTGAAGTTCCCTGTCCTCCCACGTGGTGTCTGTCCTTCTGCCAAAACCTCGGCCTTGTTCTACCTAGGACATGAATCTGGGGCACGAAGCTGCCTGCTCTGCTAGAGAACCCGGTCCTTCCCTCTTCTCTTCTACAGGGGGATGAATTTTTAATTTATTTGCGAAGTGGCATTTGCTTCCCTCCTAAGACTTGGGAGTCAGTGGTGTTTCAGCTTTATTTCTTACTTCAATAAATATTTATAAAAGGTCTAATAGAAGTGCATCCATAACGGTGCTGTTGCTCTTTTTCGTATTCCTATTCCCTTTGCTTGCATAATGAGAATCTATGTGGCAAGCATTGTGCTAGGCCCTAGGTTCACAGAAATCGCACGATAATAATCCTTAACCTCAAACGCCTTCTCAGTACAGTTCAGAGAAGACAAGTGACTTCACCAGAAATGTGGGCCCAGGTCCCAGGTCTTCTGACCCGCAAGTCCCTGTTCTTTCCACTACCTTGAGCTTGATAGGCTTCAGTAATTAAATTGAAGATATACACTCTGTCTTAAAGGAGCTTATATTCTAGTAGTAGGGGTAGAAGTAGTAACAATAATGACAACTAATATTGTACTTATTTAATTTTCATATATACCAAGCATTTTATAGGTGTTACTGTTTAACCCTAACAACAACCCTAAGAGAAAGCTATTTCTATCCCTATTTTACAGATGAAGAAATTGAGGCTTGGGAGGGTAAGTAACTGGTCCCAGGTCACAGTTAGTAAGTGGTGTGGGCAGGATGTGAACCCAGGTCACGTTGTGCATTTAAAAGTCAAACCCATATGGGGAGGATATCAGATGCTATAATATAATATAGTGTATATCATAATAGGGTATAATATAATATCACAGAACATTAGGAACACAGGGAAATTTAAGCTTCCCATTGAGGATGTGTAGGAGATAAGAGGATGGGAGAATGGAGAAAGTCAAAAGGGGGCAGGACGTTCTTGCGAAAGAGGACCGAATTAGACATGATTTAGGAGCATGGTCCTCGGTTAGAAAGAACTGTTGGAGATAAAGTACAATAGAATTGGATAGAGTAGAGCTGAAGTAGAGCTGGATGGAGCCTCTGTAGTCTCGTTCTCATTTAGCAAATGAAGACACTGAGGATTAGAAAGGGAAAGAGAGTTGTTTGTACAGGGACACACAGCATATCAATGATAGGCTGGGATCAGGTCAGGTCTTCTGATCCAAACCACCGTTTGTGGATTTTATTGAGGTTCTGGTGAGCCACTGAGGGCATTAATTGAGTCTTTGTGTGTAGACAGTGGTAAAGATGAGTGAGAAGGATGAATGATGCTCCTGGTTCTTTTTACCGTGCCTCTCCAGGGGAAGCGTGCTCAGCACTGCGTTGGCCTTTATGCAAATCGGAAAAGAGGCTTTCTTACAGAAGTGAATCATTTATCAATGCACAATCGTTCATAAGTGACTGGGAAATTATCACTTTAGATCAAACATGGTTTTGTGGAGAATGTTTCAGATACTACGATACCATTTAAATCTACATTTTGTCAATAAAAAAGGATTTATCTGCTCATAAATGGTTTTAAACTTGACATTTCAAGTAAAGAAAAAAAATAACAGGAGTATCAAACTACATGTGGTTTAAATATTCATTAAAGAATTGAGGTCCCTGAACATAAATCAAAGTGAAAACTTGTAATTGAAACTATGGTTTAACTCTGGCTTATTATTAAATATTGAAAGCTAAAATAATATCTGCCCAGTTGGTTATGATGCAAGTTATAATTCAAAAGAAAGAAGGAGCCATTGTAGATGGATTCTTTTGAGCAAATACCCTCTCTCATAATATGATGTAGATAATAACATGAGTGAAATCAATCTACGTGAGCTGTTACTAGATTTTGGTTAGTGCTGCCATACTGCTGAAATGTCTCAAAGGTATTATGGTATCTTAGTTGTCTCTGTCCAGTCACCGGCATTCCCCACCTGGTTAAATTCACCTTACTTAAAGTGTTAGCAGTTGATTAATAATTGAAAATTTACTACAGAACAATTTTTTTTGGCTGTGCTCATAAATATTTGCGGTAAATGTGATTCATTATTTAGAAGTGGGTCATTCTCTGTGAGTGTGTAGTATTCCAAATGTGACAGAGGAAGAGTAATTCTCACCTGCAGAAAATGTGTAATCTGTTTATAGGATGTTGTAAATGAAACGCAATTAACAGGAAATAATAGGAAAATTCATTCTTAGCATAGACTCTTGGATGCCACAAGTTTGTTCCCGTCTTTGACTTGGTGGAAAGTTCGGCATTTTAAAAATAAAATGAAAACAATTCACATTTTGACCAGTATGCTATAAATACGGATTTACTTCCTGGTACCTTTTATTCTATCTCCACCCTTTGTGGAACATTTACTTTATATCTGTTTATACTACTTCGCTGTGTTCCATTTAAAATAAAGCTAAAAGCAAAGATTTGAATTGAAATTGGATGGTTTGTGGTTGCTCAGTAGGCCAGGAAGGGGTTGAAATAGATTTGGGAACGAAATTACATATTTTTAACTCAGCAGCACAGCTTGCAATGGAGGAAATAAAAGGAACTGAAACAGTTCTCTTCTTTTCATCCCTCCGGGATCTCCTCTCCCTTGTTTCCTACATTCTCCAATTGGAGAAGAAAAGGGGGAAAGGTGAGAAGAGAAGGAAGGAGACATGGTGAGAACAGCTAGGTTGGGACTTCTGATGGGGCAAGTTCTTTCAGCCTCTGACAAATTGTCTGCCAGCATCCTGCAGTAGCTTGCACCTGCTTGGAAGTGGCACACAAGTAAACCCTCTTACAAAGCAGCTAGAAAATCAGCCCCCTGTGCCCTTACCCCCTTTTAACACTGTTATACACCTTCTTAAAAAATGCATAGCTAGGGTACTGACCACCAGGAGATAGTTTAGGAAGCCAACCCTTACCCATTTTTCGCTTATTGAAGGGTTACACAAACTGTTGTTCATCTCAGTTATGATTTGGAATCATAAACACTGCAAATACAGACGATTGTCTTAGATCATCTTTCTCAACCTCTTTGAAATCGGAGTGGAGCATTAAGGTGAATGTTGCAAGCTTGCTCACTAACATAGTAGGGTTTCACGTTAGTGGAGTCCTCCACAATATCTACAATTAAATATTGTCCTTCACATGCAATGTCTAATGAGTATTACAACGACACAAAAAGATAAGCAGGGCAGGCATCATTTCTCTGTTAGAAAGGAGGCAGAGAAAAGCTCCAATGCATTGCCTAAGAACCCTAGAAGCAGTAACTGACAAGGCCACAATTCACACCTCCATCTTTAAACCATTAAGCAGGCAGCTAGCTGGTCTATTGCTCCGTCCACTTCTAAGGCTTCCTTGCACCCTTCTGTTTACGGAGACTAATTTTCATTAACATTTCTTCATGTTACTAAGTAAGTAGGTCATTAAAATAAGCAAAACTACATTTTCCCCTAAGGAGTGAAATGAGAACTTTTATTTTAAAGCTTTAATAACATTTTAAATGGAAAAGCAAACATGGAGAAGTATATATACACTTAGGTAAATTTGGATTAATTTTCTCCACACACATGAAAATATCCTTGCAATGTGTTCAAATAATCTATATCCCAACCTAAAAATTAAATTAATCTGCAATGCATTAGCTTTAGAAATTGAATATCAGCAGAGACTATATTTTAAAAAATATATAGATGAAAAGGACTCTTCAAATCCACAGGGCAACAGAAAATTAAAGCTTCATTCTCTTCTGATGTGTTATATTCACTCATTCATTTGCTGAAGCAATAGCCATTTAGAGACTGCTATGTATCAGGAACAGTATTAGGTTGTGAAGATATAATTTTGAATCAGGACACAGGCCCTCATGAACTTTACAGCTAAGCAATGTAGAGAGATTAAAATAACAAATAAGCAAATAACAAAATAATTAAGGATAATGCTATGGGACAATTCAATAACATTGCAAGACAGAGGATAAACAGGGTGCGGGATCTATTATAATATTTCAGATGCATTGGTCAAGGAAGTCTGTTAAGCAGAGACCTAAAAGTTCCAGACAGGGACATGGTAAGCAAAAGTTGTTCTCATGCAGGAAAAAAAAAGTAAGTGCAGAGATCCTAAGGCAGCTAATAGATTAGTGTGCTTTAGACAGTGAAGGCAGTTCAGTATGCCTTAGCCAGAAAACAAGAGGAGGAACCTCACAGCACTAGCTTGGGGGGGTGGGCTGAGGCCAGACTAGGCAAGACCTTTGAGGATCCTGTAAAGGAGCTTAGATGATTCCTCTAGTGAACTTGGAAGCAGTTGGAGTTTTTGAGGTGGAGGGAATGACATTGTGTGACTTAGCTTGTAGTGTGACCCCTCTGGCTGCAGAATGAAGGCCTAGATAAAGAGGTGGGGTGATATTGGAAGCAAGGAGAAACATGAAGGAGC